TTGGCCAGAAGAACCCATCCTATATGCAAAATTTCGTGAAGATTGGTCTAGATCGACTCAGCTAGTCGAGATATGACGATCGGTATACTTAAAGATGGGTCTAGGACCAATATTTCGCGGCGTTACAAACTCCTGGGGCTTCACAAAGCTATAATACCCTGACATACGCTGAAAGCATTGTTGTTTTTGTATTCATGGGTCATTATTTGAATACGCATCATAATCTTCAGGCATCCACATCAACAGGAAATAAACATATTGCAAACAAATTAAAAATTTATAAATAATTTATAAAATTTGGAAAAGTTTCTTCAGTTCAACCATTAGAGCCCAATCAGCCTTAATTAAATTATCATGGAAGTAATTCTTGCAAGCATCGAGACCTTGACCAACTTATCATCAGCTTCAAAATGACGGCCAAACATTTTTGGTGATTCACCGGGTATGGGTTCAATTTTAACCCAAATCTCTTTGATTCGATTGAGGTGACAATGCCAATAATGACAAACTCCTTGCTCAGCACACAACCATTTTCGACCATTACACCCATGACAAAGGGGGTCACGACTGTTAGAGTCTAAACGCAACCATAGAGTCTAGAGTCAGCGACAGTCGTTTGCCGTGTGTTTCTTATAGGCAACGGGAAATCGCGACGGCTGACGTTCGCGTCTAGCGGCATGACGCTAGAATAGATTTTATTCATTTTTTCTCAGCGTCATACTCAAAATTTCTCTCTTGCTCTCAATTGAGTTGCCATATTTTAGGTAAAAATCAACAGTGCTACCAAATTTCAATGAGAATTTATATCAAAACATATGGCAAATATTTTCAATGATTGTGGATGTTTTTAACGAATTAATAATAAAATGGAAGAAAAATATTTTTTTCGATAATTTTATCCAAGTTCCTTGACATTATTGTTTATTAAATAATAAATTGATTTTGGTTTGCACAACGTAAAATTTTCTGTCAGAAAATGAAAACAAATAATTAACATTTTGTGCCGCTAACGCTAACTCTTTCGTTTGGTTTTCACGCCGGCGAAAAAGTATGACGCTGACTCGTGACTCTCTGGTTGCGTTTAGACTCTTACAGCCTGTTTTTGTAATTTGTTCCGGCAGTCACACGTATCGTTCGTATTAAAACGTATACGTCGAAAATTTGGTTTTTGTAATAATTGTAAAAGCTTTCGTCTAGAAACGATTGAGCTTTTTCATTCGTTTTTAACCATTAGTGCCAAAGTGTTTCTTTTGGTATCTTGTTGCAAATTTTCCAATAGAATTATTGCAAAATGAGGGTAACTCTGTTTATTGTTTACAAACAGTTTTTTTTTACATAAAAAGTGTCAAAATAGAAAATTCAAAATGTTTGGTACGATTGCAATTAATTTTAATTATAAGAAAAGCAAAATATTCCCCAAAGGAGAATACCTATGGCATTTAATGATACAGCTACATTATTCCACTTGTTATCCACTTCAAATTTATTGGATCCGAAAACAGGGCGGCCAGTTGCTAATTGTGGGTAAAGTTCCATGAGATCAACCAATTTTTGGAATTGGGCAATCGTTGTCCTTTTGTTGCTAGGGGTTCAAACAATTCAATATAATTTTTACATTTCATAGGGATATATAATTTTTTACAAACCATTTCTTCTTATATATTTCATCAGTATTTTCCATATTTGTTGCGTTCTTTTCACTAACAACACACAAATTGTAATGAACAAATAGTTTTCTTTATTATTTTTTTTAAACGAATGGTATTTTCTCTTCGTTTGTTTTTGACATTTTTGTTCGTAAATAACGCACCGTTTTGTATAACAAAAACCAAAAAAATACGAATACCAAAAGCTCTTTCCTATTTCTCACTCACTACAACCGGTAATTTGTTTGCGAAAACCAAAATGAGTAATCGTTCGTTTTTTCGACGAACGAATGGACATTTTACATTTACAAAAACAGGCTGTTAAAGATGAACTGTGGCAGGGGAACACGGCAATTGATTTAAATTCTTCAAATAAAGCACGCAAAAAAATTTAATTTCATACAATCTCAAACTTTACTTTGGTTACCATATTTTTCAAAATAATTAACATTGCTGTTAAGTATTTTTTGGTGAGAGAACATCAAAAAGTGCATTTTCCATTAAAATGTGTAGCCCTCTATAGCACAAATTTTACACTAATATTGGAAAATGCGTTTTGTCCAGTCTTTACGATTGTATGTCTTTGTCCCAAACTGCACTGATCTACCAATTTTTCCTATATTTGTTGTCGTTGTAAAATATTTGACATTTTTGCTGCTTCTGGGACAGACAATGATGCAATAATAAGGTGATGTATCAAAACAAATACCTTTGTATTTGTCTGGACCATCTGTCAAATTCCCTTATTACATTTCACATGGTTGGCAACACTGCACATCGAATTCAAGTAGAAATTACGCACTTTGACAGTTATTGAAGACATCAGCTGCTCCAAATGGACTACCTATTCATTGTGCGATGGGACATTTGTCGTGTGTCATCGTTGGTTATCGCTGGCAGTTACTAGATTACATCTTGGCGATAAATGGCGATTTTCGCAAAACAGATTTGGTGTAAATGTACCCTTCGCATATGCACACATAGTTTTACCGATCGATAAAAACTATTGATTGACTGCACGGTGTTTATTTTATTGTTTTTTCTTTGTTACGGCTGACCATTTCACTTTTACCTTTCATTTTATTCCGTTGTAAAATAATTGGTCATGATAAATGAAGGGATTCAACCCTACCAACAAATCGACAGGTAGGAGAAACTGAATCAAAACCCCTTTTCATGAACCAATAATAAGGTCGTCCGATAAGGCCAGATGATTTCACTCGAGCTGTCAAAATGTTGACTCAATCGTATGAAAACGTAAAGAAACATTTTGACAGCTTAAATAGGGATTTTCAATCCAACACTGCCGATAACGATTGCTTTTTACACGACATATTTATTGGGCCATGATTCTTATCTTTAATTTTTTTCAGTTGTTTTTTCTTCTTCTTCATCCTCTTGCAGAAGATTTCGGAACAATGAATAATGTTACTAATTTTTATTGCCAACTTTGACAAAACTCACCTTGTATTGGATTTTAAATCCTTGATGTTGACTACTGACGATCTTTTATTGTTTTTTTTTTTATTTAAACAAAATTTTCAATTAATTTTTCCCAAAGAAATTTTTACTATTTTTTTTTTTTTGTATTTCACAATGGACCCTTTTTGCTGTTGTTGGTTGTGTATTTGTCGCAAGTAAAAATGCAAGTGTTCTTTCTTATTAGAAAAATTTTAAGTATTTCCTCTTTTGATAAACCCACTTGATAATGTAACACAACAGGTGTGTTCGTTTACTTAATAATTGTGAAGAAAATCCACGCATATATAGGCCCACAAAAAATATTCTTTTAAAAATCCACGCCTCTATAGGTCCACAAAAAATATTCCTTTAAAAATCCACGCCTCTATAGGTCCACAAAAAATATTCTTTTAAAAATCCACGCCTCTATAGGTCCACAAAAAATATTCTTTTAAAAATCCACGCCTCTATAGGTCCACAAAAAATATTCCTTTAAAAATCCACGCCTCTATAGGTCCACAAAAAATATTCTTTTAAAAATCCACGCCTCTATAGGTCCACAAAAAATATTCTTTTAAAAATCCACGCCTATATAGGTCCACAAAAAACATTCTTTTAAAAATCCACGCCTCTATAGGTCCACCAAAAATATTCTTTTAAAAATCCATGCCTCTATAGGTCCACAAAAAATATTCTTTTAAAAATCCACGCGTCTATAGGTCCACAAAAAATATTCTTTTAAAAATCCATGCCTCTATAGGTCCGGCAAAAATATTCTTTTAAAAATCCACGCCTCTATAGGTCCACAAAAAATATTCTTTTAAAAATCCACGCCTCTATAGGTCCACAAAAACTATTTTTTTAAAAATCCACGCCTCTATAGGTCCACAAAAAATATTCTTTTAAAAATCCACGCCTCTATAGGTCCACAAAAACTATTTTTTTAAAAATCCACGCCTCTATAGGTCCACAAAAAATATTCTTTTAAAAATCCACGCCTCTATAGGTCCACAAAAAATATTCTTTTAAAAATCCATGCCTCTATAGGTCCACAAAAAATATTCTTTTAAAAATCCACGCCTCTATAGGTCCACAAAAAATATTCTTTTAAAAATCCATGCCTCTATAGGTCCACAAAAACATTCTTTTAAAAATCCATGCCTCTATAGGTCCACAAAAACTATTCTTTTAAAAATCCACGCCTCTATAGGTCCACAAAAACTATTCTTTTAAAAATCCACGCCTCTATAGGTCCACAAAAACTATTCTTTTAAAAATCCACGCCTCTATAGGTCCACAAAAAATATTCTTTTAAAAATCCACGCCTCTATAGGTCCACAAAAATATTCATTTAAAATCCTAGCCTAGATCCTATTCCCATGCCTCTATGGGTCCTTAAAAATATATTTTTTTTTTAAATCCACGCCTCCATACGTCGAGCAAAAATATTCTTTTCTATATATTAGGTAAATAAAAAACAAAAATTTGTATTTTTTTTACTTTTTCCGAGGGAGAAAAAAATTTGCCACAATTTAATTATTAAATTCTTAGACAATATTATTATCATTATTAATTAGTTATTGATCAAATATCAGTTTAACAGAGGATTTTGAATATAGTTAATAAAGGGGCAAATTAAAGCAACAAATAATAATAATAAAAAAAGGAAAAACGAAAAAATCTATATATACTTATACAACAAGACACCGAGATGTTCGTTCTTTCATTGTGCCCTAATCCGTATAGAAAAAATAATTAAAGAAATAATTGATACATATTATTTTAACAAAAAAAAGGAAGAAAGAAGAAAAAAGAAATAGTTAAAAGCATAGCAGCGCTTTAAAAGCAATTAACGAAACCTATAACTGAAGCTACGACGAGAACTCTATAGAATTTCCTTTTTTTATCTAAGAGTTTCTCTTGACCACCACTGGACCAACATTGTCACCAGTTTGTTTATTGTGTTCACCATGGCTGCCATCACAGTAGGGCCACTAAAATAAAATTAATAACATTTAATCAAATATTGAATTTGAAGGAGTTTGATGATTTTAAACGTTCTTACATTCTTCGATTTCCAGCAGCGACAGAAGGCAGCCTTTTCGGCAATATTTTCAATATCAACCATATCGACTACCTTGGCTTCATGTTTGCGCACGGATTGATTACAACGTCCGGCTTTGGAGCAGCCACCTTTGGCAGCTGGGCAGTAGGCTAAATAAACGGTATAACCAATACCGGCAGCAACGGCTGTGGGTGGAATGAGGGCTAACCAATCTTTAACTGTGGAAAAATAAAAATTAAAAACACATTAATAGAATAATACAAAATTAATTATATTTAAAATATTAATATTGTTTTAAAAACCCACGTCTCTGCAGGTCCTTAAAAATATTCTTAAATTAAATTAAGCCTTTATTGGTCTACAAAAAATATTCTTCAAAAAAAATTTAAGCCTCTATAGGACTACAAAAAATATTCTTCATAAAATTTAAGCCTCTATAGGTCTACAAAAAATATTCTTCAAAAAATCTACGGTTGTATATGTCCCCAGAAAATATTCTTAAATAAAAACTATGCCTCTATAGGTCCTCAGAAAAAAATAGTTTATAAATCCACGCCTCTATAGGTCAATAAAAAATATTCTTTAAAAAATCCACGCCTCTATAGGTCCTCAAAAAAAATTAGTTTATAAATCCACGCCTCTAGAGGTCAACAAGAGATATCCCTTTACAAATCCACGCCTCTAGAGGTCAACAAGAGATATCCCTTTACAAATCCACGCCTCTAGAGGTCAACAAAAGATATCCCTTTACAAATCCACGCCTCTAGAGGTCAACAAGAGATATCCCTTTACAAATCCACGCCTCTAGAGGTCAACAAGAGATATCCCTTTACAAATCCACGCCTCTAGAGGTCAACAAGAGATATCCCTTTACAAATCCACGCCTCTAGAGGTCAACAAGAGATATCCCTTTACAAATCCACGCCTCTAGAGGTCAACAAGAGATATCCCTTTACAAATCCACGCCTCTAGAGGTCAACAAGAGATATCCCTTTACAAATCCACGCCTCTAGAGGTCAACAAGAGATATCTCTTTACAAATCCACACCACAAAAAATATTCTTTTACAAATCCACGCCTCTATAGGTCCACAAAAAAATATTCTTTTACAAATCCACGCCTCTATAGGACCACAAAAAATATTCTTTTACAAATCCACGCCACTATAGGTCCACAAAAATTATTTTTTTGAAACACCACTCCTCTATAGGCTCACAAAAAATATTCTTTTAAAAATACGTTCTTAGGAAAAATTATTTTAAAAATCCAGCCTCTATAGCACCTTTAAAAACCCTAATTTAAAAATCCACGCCTCTATAGGTCCTTAGAAAAAATTATTTTTAAATTCCACGCCTCTATAGGGTCTTAGAAAATAAATAATTTTAAAAATCCAGCCTCTATAGCATCTTCAAAAACCCTAAGTTAAAAATCCAAGCCTTAGAAAAAAATATTTTTAAATTCTACGCCTCTATAGGGTCTTAGAAAAAAAAATTATGTTAAAAATCCAGCCTCTATAGCACCATTAAAAATCCTAATTTAAAAATCGTCGTACTTAGAAAAAATTATGTTAAAAACCCACGCCCCTATAGGTCCTTAGAAAAAAATTACTTTACAAATCTACGCCTTTATAGGTCCTTAGAAAAAATTATTTAAAAACTCCACGCCTCTATAGGAACGTAGAAAAAATTATTTTTAAAATCCACTCCTCTATAGGTCCTTAGAAAAAATTAGTTTCTAAATCGACACCTCTATACATCCTTAGAAAAAATTATATCGGTTCTTAGAAAAAATTATTTAAAAAATCCACGCCTCTATAGGTCCTTAGAAAAAATTATATAAGTCATTAGAAAAATTATTTTACAAATCCACGCTACTATACATCCTTAGAAAAAAATTATTTTTAAATTCCACGCCTTTATACATCCTTAGAAAAAATATATAGGTCGCCTCTATAGGTCCTTAGAAAAATTATTTTAAAAATTCCACGCCTCTATAGGTGATCCTTAGACCCCTCTGTACGTCCTTAGATAAAAATTATTTTCGAGATCCACGCCTCTATAGGTTCTTAGAAAAAATTATTTTCGTGATCCACGCCTCTATTGGTTCTTAGAAAAAATTTATAGTTTCTTAGAAAAATTTATTTTAAAAATCCACGCCTCTATAGGTTCTTAGAAAAAATTTATAGTTCCTTACAGCCTTACCTAAAATTCGACTAGCTCGTTCGACGTTTTTCACCACAAAAGTAGAATACATGTATTTATATGAATGTTACCGATTTACGTCGAGCCAAAAATACAAAATTTCAAGTTGAAAATTTTCAACTTTGACAGAACGTATTTTTTGTATTTTTCTTTTGGTGAAAATAAAATCAAAACATTCAGAAAATATGAAATTTCGAATGTGAACATAAAATATTTGGATAAATTTAATAAATTTTCAACTTTGTTTTGCGGTTTGTATTATTCGCTTGAAGATATGGATTCGACGTATTTGGGTAATACGGCCGTACACAAAATTTTAAAAAAGTGGGGAAGTTGAATTTTTCTGTACGCCCCGTCGAATTATAGGTAACGTTGTTAGAAAAAAATATTTTAAAAATCCTCGCCTCTATAAGTCCCTTTTTTTACACCTTCCACTTTTGTTGGTGGTTGTAAAAAGGGGAACCTCAAAATGGATCACCCTTTACAAAGGCGTATAATTCAAATAAGGTCATTAAATACTAATTTATTACAACAACACTACTTTGAAAAAAAACTATTCATACCAACAACAACAAATTATTTATGTGTGTTTCATATATAAAACAAAACCAAACATGTCCCTATATTTCCATAATCACATGATGTAAGATAGATACAAAGCCAATGAAACGGCATTATTGTCCACATTTTTTATATCTATAATTTTGGGCTTTTTGTTGAGAAAATTTAATTAAAAAATTTGGTTAAAAAATAAACAATATCCCTATTATCTTATCAGCCAGAATGAGATGAAAACAATTTAGAATAGGTTATAATTAAACCAATGGAAAAGGGGGTCAATAACAAAAAGACAACAATAAAAAAAAACAACAAAAAAAGTACAACAAAACTAAAAAAAAAATTATAAATATTTATGTGAACAAAAATAAATAATATATACACCTATACATTTATATTACAACAACAAGTTGTACAATGGCAACAACAAAGAAAGCTCACGCACGAACCAGAATGAAATGGGCCACAAAAAACAACAACGAAAATTTAGTTCCAAAGTTGGCAAAAAAATTTGTTTGTTGCATAATCTACAAATATACTAAGTTTTTGCATACAAGAACAACAACAACTACAACGATAAGGAGGTTGACATCCGAAAGGTAATTGAATTAATACTAAAGTACTGCACGTTTTGATAAAAACACCCGAAAAAAAAAAACAATAAAGATAACAAGCTACCAATAAAAAAGATGTTTGGGATTTCAATATTACTAAAAAAACTTAACCAGTTTTTAATCTAATTCTGCAAAGAAAAAGTGCAATTACAATGCAATTTGTAATTATTAGGAAAGTGTTCTTTTGTACTTACACGACAATTTGAACCATCCACCAAAACTATCGGGAATTGGCAAACTCGACAAATAATTTGGCAATGTATCCTTAACAAGTCCAGAAATTGCGTTCATTTTTCTCTAGTTGTTGTGGTTATTCCTTTTCTATAATAATAATAAGAGAAAGTGTATTTTTGTTCGTTTAATCTCTATCTATTTGCAAGGGCAATAAAATTTTTGTACCGCAAAGAACCCGACTTCGTAATGGTGATTTGGATGATGATGATGTTGTTATGATGTTTCTTTTGCCTCTGACATTTACCAGCCGCCGGTGCTGTCGCCAGAGAAAAACGTTCCAATGTTGTAGAGTGCTGCCCAATTTTGATCTTTTCTTTCAAATGGCATGAGACAAAGCAAAAGCGTAGTGGGGAATGAAGTGGCTTGGCCACACCAAATATTCAATGGGGTATGTTCAGTGTCTGTGTGAGGGGTTTTTTGTGAAAAATATGAAATTAAACATTTAAAAAAAATCATTCGTCATGGTATGTAGAATATATTGCAAGAACTATATATATTTATATGGTCCATTAATTGATATATTCCCGCACTCAAAAATTGGTAAAACTTTTCAAATTTTAGTCTATTCCCTTACTGCAATAATATACTAATTTTTACTATTTTCTTAATACTATCAACCACAATAAAATTTGCAACACCCAGCATGCCTACATCAAAGGCAAATCAGTGGAGGTGTTTGGACATATCGGGAAGAATGTGGAATCTCCCCGTTTATACATTTGCTGCGTTTCTCGACATTAAACAATTATACAAAGTAGGATAGCTTTTATCAGAAAAGAGAAAATACACCTACACCTTACGGACAATAATGTCAGAATAAATGAAACCAAATGCAACAAGCCGTTCTGTTCATTTGACATATTTTTAAAAATTTAACAAAAACGCGAGGAGTGAATGGAGTTATACATTTCTTCTTACAAATGTTGTAAAATTCTTCTTCAAACAAATCGATTTTCGAATATATTTTGCTCTATTTTTTATAACATTACACACACAGTAACACATTTTGTCTATGACTTTGGCATAACAAGTCACAGTAAGAAAAAATTGTAATTTACAAGTTGCTATGGCCTACCTTGAATCATTGTATCATAGATTGAGCCTTCAATAATGTGAAGCCGGAGGCTATACATTCTGCTCTCAATAGTTTAGGTATTCCCCTCCCTCCTAACGGATTGGATTGATAGAATCCTGAAAAGCAGAATTATCATTATCCTGGAAAGCAGAAATATCCATTGGAGAGAATTCCGTGATGAAATCTGTCACAGAGGCACAACACAACAGGAGGAGTACTATCTCCTCTTCTATGGCTTCTGGTGATAAGCGAGATACTTCTGAAACTTGACCACATTAAAGTAAAGGTTGTCGTAGCAGCCCTATTGCTTTTACACAATGGGCTGAGGAGACAGACATTGGCCGAGTAAGACTCGTAGACCCCCATGTAACCTATGCTGATGATGTAGTCTTGCTAGTCGGTGGGAAGTTTCTGCCGACTATTCAGCCAATGGTCTTGGCGTAAACCCCACGAAGACAGCAATGTTACTCTTCAGTTGGAAATGCAAGATCACAAATTTTCGATACCCATCCTTAGGCGTTTCCTTAGAAGCAAAATACCTTGGTGCAATCCTCGACCACAAACTAACGTGGAAAAGGAATGTTGAGAAATAAAGGACTAATAGCACTCTACTCCTGCAAGAAGAGTTTTGGACTAAAAAGAGATATCAGTGGATGTATGTGACGGTTGGACTCCCCATTCTTACATATGGTTGCCTTGTATGGTGGGGTCAACAAGAAGATACTGCTGGCTAAAATGAGTACCTTAGAGCGATTGGCGTCGATCCTGATAACCGGAGCGCTAAGAAGCACACCACAAGCAGCCTTGAAGGCAATCTTGAATCTCCAACCACTGGATTCTCGGGTTAAATCGCATGCCTGGAAGTCTTCTATAAGCTTTATAGCATTTATTATAGAAGTTCTGGATGTCTTCTTATAGAATAGATCGATATATTATTACCGTAGAACTTGAGATCTTCTTATAGAAGGGTTAAAAGAGTTTAAACGGGATAAAGAAGACCAAGATGTATTTTTAATGAAAAGCTGGAAGTTTTCTTAAAGGGATAATTTAAATTTACATGCCTTTGATCGAACATTGGGAAGGGTGTGAGGTTCACCAATTGCCTTTCCGAGCAAGAAACAGTGGTCGACTTCTAAATCGGCTGATCGGAGGTTATTACCTCACCATCAGCCACGTTGGCAAGCAGTCATTTTGGTCACGTTTATTGTGGCTTTTGGACTACCTTTAACAAACGGTAGGTTAAAATGCGATAAAATTTGACCAACAGAATCAGGTAAATATGTTTTTTTTAAGCGCGTAATAGCTGAACGACCAATCACGAACATTTTGTACAAATTATATTTGAAACAAAAAATAAAATAATACATTTTGAGCTTTACAATATATAGGGAACAAGAAAAAAAAATACAACACCATTTTGTGAGACGTTTGACATTTAGTTTTTACGGCGGTTAATTTTTAATATATCGTAATTTTTAATAAATCGTATTTTTTAATATATTGTAAAACTCAAATTGTTTTATCGAATTTTTTATTTCACTTATCATGTGTTTAAAAATTTCCTGCTGGGTCGTTTTACATAAGTCAAAAAATGTCATATCGAACTTGACCGGAGTATTACGATACAATGAAATCAGCTGAGTATTGCAGCTACCTTGTATAATTGTACCCCATGGTTTATTACCAACAAAATTGAAAAAAAAAATCTGTTATTTCTTTAATGTGTAAACTGATTCTTGACACACTGTAAATTAAGTTGTTCACAAAAAATCTATTCTTAATTTATGTCATCAGAATGCATAAGAAGCTTGTTTTTTCTTGATGAAAATATTACCCTATAAAAAATTTCTTCTGCCATGGTTTGTCTTTATTATTTTATAATTTACAAATAATTTTCTCAACATGGCAGTTCACCCTTTTTTCATGGATTCACACCGTTTCCTAGTTTCCCTGTTATCATTTCCCAATGATTGACTGCGTTGTTATTAATTTGAATAACGCCGTCAACACGTACAGAGTCATTCGTCGATTAAAACAAACGCCGCCTTCACACAAGAAACCGATAGCCGATTGACACAAACCCTAGTTCAACACAGTAGTATGGCGTTTCGAAAAGTGAATTAGTGCGGTCGTCGGTTGGTTGTGTTGTACAACAATTTTTTTCAAAGAATAAGAAAAAAAGAGAAAAACAATTTTTTTCTAAAATATATATGCTAAAAAAATAATTTCCAACAAATAAGAAATATAAATTAAAAAGAAAAAAAAAACATGGAAAAGAAAACAGATTTTCGTTAGTTAGAAGAAGAAGACGACGTCGACGACGAAAAAACAAATGCCTCAATAAGAGGATTGTGTTTTTTTTGTTCCTCGCATCTCCCTCTCTCTCTTGGTCGTACGTTCGTTCGCTTGCTTGCTCTCGGTCACCGAAAACCGAATAATTAACAGCAGAAGTCAAAGAAGTGTGTACGTGC